CCCACACACCCACACACTCACACACACACACACACACACACACACACTACACACACACACACACACACACACACACACACACACACACACACATACATCACACACACACACACACACACACACACACACACACACACACACACACACACACACACACACAGGCGAGTCATGAATGTCATACTGGTGTCATCAGCTTAAAGCCATTTCCCATTTCCTCCACATAATTACACCTGCACATCAAAGTTCATAACATCATTTATTTTGTAAAATATGATACAGTGCGTGGGAAAAACATGTCATGGACCATGAAGTGACAGAGATATGATCTGGTGGTACTAATTAACAGTACTCTCCTGTGATTGTACCTGAAGATGAAGTTAAAAAAGTCAGAGCACAGCCTGTTCACATCAGTTCTAAGTTGACGTCATTTTGATTCTCAAATGAGTCACCGTATAAGTAAAAATATTCATCAGTTATATGAATATTTGAGCAACAGTGGCGTCTCTTGGATATACTGCTATCTGCTACGTGTCATTCGGGGCTGTTTTAAAAACATCATTCTGAATTTTATTTTATCTAAATCTGGTCTCACTGTGCCTAATGCCCATTATCTGCAGTTATATCTAGAAGTACTTGCTTATCTAGTTTGTGAGTGATCAGGTTTCTAAAGTTAACTTTGTGTGATCACAGGCCTCTCACCAACAATTTCAAATACTAGAATCCTTTTTCTGAAGAAGTGGCCTGTATAATATCATCTTTTCCTTTGAACCCACTTCAGAATTGGTAAATAACATGGATCAAATTCTGACTGTGAGTGGTTATTCATTGTTCAGGAAAAGGGTGGTTTTATTGAATCCCCTGATCCTCCCTGATGTCTGACTTCAACAAGTATGTCAATATTTAAACCTAACAGAAAGTTATTAATTAACAGCAAATTTTATCTTTGTCAGTAAAAAAAATATTATATACTGTAGACCTTCTCTTTGTACAATGTGATTGTATGGTCTGAAAATGTATATGCTAGAAGATTTAATATAATATATAAAACAGTCATGCTGAATGTCATGAGGATGCTCCTTTTAATCACATATAAAATAGGCACCATTCTTTGTCATGTTGGAACTTGCACCAATATTCTGTGAGCTCTAATCTCGTGAATGTCTAATTTACTCCTTTGGATTAACTGAATTTTTACATTAACAGTCACTCAGTAGTGAAATAATAGAATGCAGTCATTATAAAACATATATTTATAGTTATTTTAATGCATTAAAAAGTATGATGACCTTGACCTTTCACTTCTGCAGTTTCTTCATCCACTCATTTTTGCTTCCTAAGCATTGTCATGAATTGGGGGTTTTTGTTTGGAGATGTCATAACTAAAATAGTTGGTTTCTTAACAAAATTAAGCTAAGATTTAACAGTGGGCTGTGCAGGATCTGCCTGAAGTTGTTGCTGCTGCTGCTCCTTGATCTTGTCGTACTCCTGTTGCTCGTATGTTGACCTACTTTTGAAAAGGTCATCCACCATCCTGCGTAGCTTGAAAGTGGCAGTGTGCCTCATGGATCTGTTTTGGGAGTGGGTCGGGATGCCGCGCTTTGGTTTGGACGTCTCCGTCTCTTGCTTGGCCTTGGCTGCGGCTATCATGGCCTGTAGCAGAAGTGGGTCCTGTTTCTTCTTCTTGGCTTTACCTTGACTCTCTCCTCCTCCTTGTTCCATCTGGATTTTCTTCTTGCCAACATTGGCCCAGCGTTTCTTGGCTATTGCTTTCATCTTTTGCTTGGCTTCTTCAGCTTTTTCTTCCTCCAGTGCCTTAACGAATTCATCCAGCATCCCTTCCTCTGCTGCCTTCTTCTGGCGCTCCAGCTTGCTCAGGTATTCCTTGAACCTCTTGTGGACATCACGGGCCTCCCTTTTCACCTGGTCTTGACTCACCTTTTTGCATTTTGGTATAGGGAGCTCTCCCTCCCTCCTCCTGGTTGAGGCTATTGTTTTTGGGCGAGGTTTATAATCGATCTCAGGTTGGCCCTCTTCTCGTGACATGTTCAAAACGAAGTGCATAATTCTAGCTATTTCCTCCTCACTTTTCCTCACACAGACATCGTCCTCGTCAATATGCATGGGTTCGATGGTGGGGGCCGGGAGAGGTTTATACATGGTGGCATTCTTCTGTGCCTTGTCTCTTCCCTGGTAGCCTCCACTCGAGGGTTTATTTGTCAGAGCCACCTGTTCAATGGTGGGTAACTGGACCTTCAGAAAATATTTCTGTAGTCCAGCGCCACTCTCTCCCTTTTTGGTCTCTCCAGGAACCACTGTAGTTTTTGATTTGGACAGTGGCTCCACCCCTGGCAGTTTTGTTTGCTCAGTCTCACCCTGTGGCACTGTGACGGTAGCAGGACGGGGACCGAGAGAGGTGTGGGTGGAATTGTCAACTACCCCCATGGCTGATTTACTTTGAGAACGTGATGGGAAAGTAGAAGTAGTAGTAGCTTGCTGTAGTTTGTCTTTATTTTCATTTTGATCATTTTGAGGTTCTATCACATCAGGAGCAACTTGTTTATTTTTCTCCTTCAATAAAGTCTGTTTTTCCTTCTCTTTTTGCAAGCTTTTTGCAAAGTCTTGTTGACGTAGAGCTTTCCTTGCTTCTGTTACAGTTGGAGAGACAAAATTAGGATCTGCTTGATACCGTAAAGTCACTGGCATTTTCTTCTCCAAGTAGCAGCTCTTTTGTAAGTTTTTGTTCAAGTATCTCTCCAGGTTTGCCAGGGCCAGGTCCTCATAGGTGAAATCTTTCCACGGATGCATGGCCCTCTCTCGCTGCATGTGAATTTTTCGCTGATCTATTTCCAGCAGACGCTGGTCATGGCGAATATGGTTGACTTGTTCTGCCATCTGGCGCATTTCCCATGATTCTTTTTTTTCTATGTATTTCTTGAACCTGAAATTATGTCAGTGGAAATTTTGATCACTTGACATTGATAAAGGGGTCACTAAAATGTTTTTTAATGTCATTATAAGATTGATTTTTAAGACATGGTAGAAGAGCATAGATTATATTTCTGAAACTTAGAAAAATTATGATACTGACAACAGCTGTAAAAATCATATCAGGTTGTTAAGTGCAGTCACATGTAAATGTGACATTTCTGCTATTTGACATAGAATTAATTTAAAAAAAAGAAGTGAGAGAAGGTATTACAGAAAGCAGGGGAGTCTGTCTGTCAACCTGAAGTAAACACGTGGTTTTCACTGGGGAAACTCTTACCTCTGCAAGGCCAGCTCAATCTGCTGCCCCTTGATCCCCACCAACTTCTCCTCAAACGAGGCCTTCTTCTTGACGTAGCCCAGTGCATCCTCATCCTTCCCCCCACTGCTCTCCCCCTGCTCATCTATGAAGAAGCAGTTACCTGGAATGGAGGGATACATTCTTTTATTGGTATTATACAATGATTAGGTTCAGGCAATATATTCTATAACTACAGCACTAACACTTGTCTATAATAGCAATATTAAAAATGTTTAAAAATAAGGAGAAAACAAATATTTGCAGTATACAATCCCCTCTACCCCTCCCTCTGTGTGTGTGTGTGTGTGTGTGTGTGTGTGTGTGTGTGTGTAAAGAACTAGTAGTTCAGATGTCACATGTGTGAAAGATGATGATTTGCATATGCACACACATGCAGATGTGTTTACATATGTTCCCTTGACAAAAGTTTGTCTTCTTCAGATATGAAAATTCAATAATTTATTTTGAAAATAGACCAGACACTCAATCATCTGAAAAAGTATATTCGACTAGGGACCCTATGTGAAAAGTTTCAATAAGGCAACCAATATCCATTTCAGTTTAGTATTTTACAACAATATATAGCTTTCTTTGTCATCAGTATAGTTCACTTCATCAAATAAATCACCTTGCATCAGTTTAATAAAAAAAAAATGAGATGTTGAGATTGCATGTTCAGGGTTGCAGAATAATGACCTGCCTATCAGATGGATCACTAGAATGGATTTAATTATTGTCCCCTGACACTAACCCCTTTTATCCAGGTGTTTGGGTTCTATTCTTTGATAAGAAAATGCTTTTAAGTACAGTTAAAGATCCTTGTCATCAAGGGACCTTCCCACAGTTAACAGTACATATAATATAACTGCTCAGGTCCAATGTGAGAGATTGACAACTTTTATTCTACTATTCCCCAAGAGAATCTCCTAAATGTAGCCCCCACACTCAACAGCTAATTAATTTAGGGCAATTACTCAATCTTTTCATTGGGGGAAGATTGTGAATTTTACAGATACTATATTTTTTAAATCATAATTTCTTAAAATTAGAACATTTGTATTGAGTGGTAGCTACTCTATAGTTCTATTCTGTGCAGTAAAACACCACAAATGCTTTATAGAAATATAAATTTTGTGATTATAAAATTATCATCTGAAAGTTAGGTAATTTTTGTCCATTGAAAAGATTGAGTAATTACTGTACTTTAAATAAACAAAGGAAGTAAACCTATAGCAATATTAACATGTTAGAACTACAAAGTGGACTGATCAAGTATACTGCCTGATGTGAAAAAGACAAAGGATTATAGTAATACTTTATTGAGCATTAAAATGTTTAAAAATTACATTTTACTTTTACATATAAGTTTATACAACATACATAGACAGTTAAAACTTTGGAAGGCATGAGGACTGAGAAATAAAAGCTTTTATGTCTGTTGTTAGTGCTGGTATGGGTGTTTCGTTTCTTAAAACAGTATGGCTCTTAAGCATGATTCACTTTATGGACTGAGCTGCCAGTGAAGTTTTTTAGGATCTGATTTCTGCTGTGGTGGTATAATTAAAGGGCAATTCATTTAAATGGGATTTATCTGCCAAAATGGATTTTTCCATGGAAATAAGCAGTTTTCTCATGAATCATTTATCCCTCCCTCTCTGCACTTGGATTTGACCTTTGATTAAATTTATACAGGTTGATTTAGGATACAATGACTGGTCAGTCATTATGACCAGCGACCATCTTCCTAAGCTCTGATGTAAATATCATCATCAGGTATGCTCCAAAAAATATTATTTAAGGGGTTAAATCATGTATAGGGTGTATGTGAGTTTTTATAAGAAGCTGTGGATACTGAAAATAAGTATTTGGAGGATTTTCAAACCCATGGAGTGTACCTTAAGTCTAGTTTAATAACTCAGTTATTGTTACCCAAGTCTCATTCCAGGCTTCCCCTGCCTCAGTTTTGGACCTGATCTGTTTGATTTCATCTGTGAGCGTCATGAGACATTAAATATTTTTATCAGGTGTAAAAGATACATATTGGTTAAAGAAAACAGTAAATATTAGAACTTTTTCTCTAATCTTTATTGATGGTATGAAGATGTGTTGTTTGGCTTAAAAGATGTACTTGAGGATCCTCAGATTTGATGTGTTTAGTATAGGTCAGGAAATATTTTGTTCATTTGAAATATTAGATATTGCAGCATGCTCAACACTGAAATCAAGTCTTCAATATAAGCCTTATTTCAAGCATATAGGGCTTTCACTCTGATATCAAGTATTGGCTGTATCTATTAGGATTTCAGATTAAAACGCATAAACCCTGTCCTGAGGGGGGAGTTAACAGCTGAAATCCCAGCTTATGTCAGAATAGAGAGGGGTGGTGTTAAGGATGAAAGAAGAATTGCGTCAGATCTGGCCTAAGTGTGCCCCTTTTTACATTCATGGGTCTTTGGATAAAAGCTTTCCAATAAGATTCAGGATGATTTCTTGTTCCACTAAAATACAAGTCTCTCAGACAGTTGCAGTGAAAAGATTGAGAATATCCTTGTTAATATATTGAAAATATTTCAATATATGATCATTTTAAGTGATTAAGATTTATTCTTATGCACAAAAATATGAGGAAAATGTTATTAATATTATTATAATATTATGTTACATGTAATTATTGCCACAGATAACTAGATCACTGGAAAAACTTGCAGAAGTGTATGCACTTAAGATAATATGTTTTATTGCACTTGCGGCATGCAGATAAAGCAGATACTGGCAGCTATGAAAAAAATATTTGGGTTTTATTTATAGCTGGCAGATGAATATATATCTATTAAGAAAGTGTTTTGTGTAGTATTCTGCTGGTTAGAGTGAAGACTTGGTGCCTTGAGTGAAGACAAGTGGATTGTTTTTACTGGCATTATAACAGCTGTGTCCTGTAAATTTTAGCAGCAGTTGCAATATGTCATAATTACCAACTGATTCATGATGCGTTAACAAGTTTTAGAGCAAGAGGGTTATATGGGGAGAGTTGCGTTTTTTGACCTGGCAAAAGTGGCGGAGATATATTGAGACAGAGATTTGTTAACTTCTGCTGAGGGTTTAATGTTTTGAATTATTTCTGTAAAGGTTTGAAAAAGCATTTCTACCGTAGAAGGTCATTATTTCTGTAAAAGATTATTTAAAGTAATTCTTCTTTTATCGTTTTAAAATTTTAAAGTAATTCTGCTTCAGTAGGTAATTTTTGACAATAACATCTTTAACATATTAAAAACTGGGATTCTTCTTGGACAATTTTGTTTTAACAAAATACCCAATTTGTCAGTTATATCAAATTGATAGGTGAAATATTTTACTATAAAATACGTTTCTTTTGCCACAATGCTGTTTATATGTAGCACTTTGCATACTTTCCATATATTAACATGAGACTTGTTCTTTATGGGGTTTTATTACTAGATCTAGTTATTTGATAAACCTACCTTCCCACAGTAGTTTTGGATTATTTGTGGACATCCCCAGCATTTGAAACTATTCCAGATTTGTTTAGTATCTCTTTCCTCGTAGCACTGCATCCTATGCCTGGCCTAGTGAGCCAGGGTTGTCCCCACTATGCATGGGGTTGCTATGCATAGAGTAAAACTCTGAAACTGTGTACGTTGTCTTATTTGAAAGCTAAAATCAGGCTGTTTGTAGTTAATCTTCTTCTTTGAAAATATATATTGCCCAGCTGTTCTGTCTGTTGTCCTGTTAAATGAGATTTGTTGGGTATTGTGACGAACTCGGTCAATCCATTTTGTCTGTTTGCTGTGACCTACGCATTCTACCGAGAGTGCATGTTTCGTGTTAACAGTTGTGACCACTCAGAAGTGAGAAAAACCTTCCAGTCAATTCCTTCTTGGCACAGGTGGTTGGACCAAGTTTTAAATCTGTTAAGACCTAAAGTAGCCAGATCTTGATGGGGTTAATAGTGGTCCATTTCTCGACTAACTTTCACTGTCCCCATAAATATCGCTGTCAGATGCAGATGGCTGGCGCGTAGGTAGTAGAGAATTCTTTAACAATAACTACTAATGAAAATAACCCATGTTACCACCCTACCTTTTACTTTTACAATTTCATTATGGCCTTTCCAATTGGCTTTATCAGCATATCAATGTGTTGTTTAACGGATCAGCGGAGTTAAAGTAGGCGATTGAATGGAATTATAGTAGAGTTCTGTTATTTCTGCTCGGCCAATTGGATCTAAGTTTCAGATCAATAGAGGGCACTGTGATTGTTTAGTCAGATATGCAGGTGACATTGAAGAAAGTGTCGAGTTTCCTTCAGAGCTAATCAGATAGAGACTTTGTTGTAACACGGGCTATTCTGGTGCTGTGTTGACATGTTTTAATAGATGGATGGAGGGAGTGAAAAAGATCTTTGTTGAAATGGAAATAATGGTCGTCAAGGATTGGAGAAAGGGTTTTACAAAGACTTGGTGAAAATTAATGTTCACTGATGTTATGACATTTGACATTTGTTGCTTTTATTAGTTTTAACCTGTGTTAGATGATAATTAAATAATATTTGCTGTTTATTCAATTTTTTAGAAGATGGATTAAATTGGGTAGATTCCATTGAACTTTTCTCCCACAGAGAATGTTTTGTCCTCTCCTTCCACCAGTTCAGTTCATGAGATGGAAGTTCTAGAGCATTCACATATTTTCTTTCTCTTTTTTATGAAATAAGAAAAGATGTAAGCAACATGCAAATTCACAAATTAAATATTTGAATAATGCCAAATTAAGTCAGTAATAGGTCATAATTGTTACTTTTAGATGATAGGAATTAAAGGCCATGCTAGAAAATAATTTATAAGATGTGCATCTGTTTGAGACAGTTTACGAGTAACTAAAAAAATTGAGCAGATTATTTTTGATAGAATGATGGATAAATAGACATAAAATAATAGAGGTAGTCATCCATGAAAGTTGATTACCATTTTAGATAACTTAAGAAGGTATAATTATGTGTGTACTTTAAAAGATGTAATTATATTTTAAATTTTAGCAGATGTTATAGCTGTTGTTATTAGAAAGAAACACTTTATGCAGTGTAATCTATAGGCTCACAGGGCATTTGATTTAATTTGAACTCTGGTCCCATTTATTTCCTATAGGGGGAATTCTGTAAATAATTCTAGTTTATTGTCCATAATAAATTGTCTGTGGGCAATATGTTAATGATATCAGTCTGTATAGTGGACTACTACACTCTCGGCAGACATTTTGAACTCTTCAGAAAGAGGATTAAATAGCTGCGCAGGGTATATTGTAAAGAGCTCAAATGCACAGAATCAAAGAAAAACCTTTTTCATAATTTTGACCTTTTTTCTTTCCATCATAGAGTGCATGAGTGGCTGGTATAATGCTAGTAAGTGGGTTGTCAATACTTGGAGTAGAATAACAATGCTTTAAGCCTGAGGGAAAGAAAATAGGACTAGCTAGTGTACACAGTTCTGCTTTCACATCAGTCTGGATATGAGGAATTGTGGTAGTTGTGATCCCAACACAATCTTTCTCTTTCTCACACTTAGATCTCTGTCTCTCTTTCTCTCTCTCAGCCATCTTTAAAGTTGTGGGATATCAGATAAAAAACCATTACTTTTCTGTCTCTACAACATTATTTGATTGTGAAGAATGTAAATATGTTATATATTTCAAACAATATGTATTGATGTTAATTATGTGAATCATTAAAAAGATTTATCCCCGTCTTGCACTTACCTCGTATAAAACCTGCCTGATAATCTTTTAACAGCTTCTCACTGTCGTCAACTTCAAAACTTCCCACTCCAAACTGAGAAGAAATAGCCGTGGATGGAATTGTGAACACCATGATAGTGATGTTATTATTTTAGCGAGTTTTAGCTAGGCCTAAGCACGTTCCACAGCTTGTTGGTTTTTGTGAACTTTTTTAATATTGAAAGATGAAGCATCCAAATTCCTGTCGAGGATTGGGGAATATATTTCTTTCCTTTTAAATTCTGTCTCTTTATTCATGGGTTTTAAAAGCACACCTGAAGCTTCCGTGTCAGTAAAAAATGTAAAATTCACAATGATTTCGCCCGGTGAGATGAGTCGTCTTTGCTGTTCTTCCCTTTTCTCCGTTTCCAGTGTTGAAAGTTCACAAGGCAACCTCAACAGTGGTGGTGAAAGAACTGCTTACTGTGCTCTTACTTCCCTGCTGTATGTCTTTTTTATTTAATGTCTTTCCTGAACAGAAGTTAACTTGTTGTCCTAATAAGAGTTGTAAATGTATAGGACACAGAGTTCTTCACTTTTCCATCTGTAGTACTTACTTAATGGTAGTTTAGTTTTGTTCCATGTCAGATGCCACACGACTTTTAGATTTTATGCTAAAGTTAAGTACCTCGGTGTATGTTGCACTCGCTTTTAAATGTTTGTAAAAATTCCAGTCTCAGTGAAAAACACACTAACCCACTCAGTAGGTGGAGAGTATTAACAGCTGACCTCTGTGTTGCCGTGGCAACTGCCAAATAAATGTTGTTTAACCCAGCACCACATGTCACCTGATTTTACTGTAGTTTTTCCTCCCAAATGGTTTAACCGTTGGATTAACCTCTCAAATGATCCACTCAGTCCCACACTGCTTTAGAGATGAAAAAAAATTTTTTTCCAGCATTTTCCCTTGGAGATGTAGTTATTGTCTGTGTGATAAGAACAGGTGTAATATAATAGCAATTTCCTGACACTTTATCTCCTGTGTATTCAGTCTCCCAGAGATAGACTCCATTCAAATCCACCTCACATAGAGTGACACGAAACCCGTCCATTGAAACCCAACCTAGCACCTATCTTATTGTGTGAATACAATGCTGCTGTCAACTTCAGTTCAACTTCTTGAAATTCAATATCACACTGGTATTAGGCAAAAGCCTCAGCACCACTGTTTTGGCTGTTATGTTAAATGGGCTGGATGAGTAATGAAATGGAGGCCTTTTGGTGGAGTGGGAAAGTAGTGCATCTGACTGTTACCATGGTGAACAGAAGTTGTTTTTGTTGAATGATGGTCACATCCTGGTCTTCAGAGCGTTCAAAAGTTTTATGAGTAATTGGTGAATAAGACTCCTTCCATGTTGGAAAAGTTAATATCCTATATTAGTCTTAAATGTTATTAAGAAGAAAGCAATTTAGCCACACTGAATAGAAAGCCATTTTTATGTAAGTGATAATTGTAACTGAATCATTGACAGTTTCCAAAACTATCTAAAGACAGGTCTCCTTTCTGTCTCCCTTTTCAAAAGAAATATTTATTTTTGGACATCACAATTGGATATGTATCCATCTGTTAACTTGAATGCTCCCCTATTGTATTTTGCAGGAGACATCCTTGGTTTGCTACTTGACTTAGACAAACAGGAGATTATCTTCTCCTTAAATGGTAACTGTCTACCTGCTTATAACCAGGTATTTGCACACGCCAGGTGAGTAGAAGATGGGGAGAAGTAATTCAATTTTCTAGTTTATTTTGTTTTACAGTAAAATAGTTTATTTTTGTACTTAAATGCTATTTTAAATATTCTTTGTAAAAAGTAGATATTTAGACCATTTTCCTAAAATGTATAAACACCATTTTCTGCTTGTTTTGTGCATCTCACTATAATTATAACACTATTTCATGTTTCATTATATTTTTCAATATAATTTATCACTGTGGTTGTATCTTTATGTCATTATATTATATTTAGGTCAGGATTTTTTGCTGCAGCAAGTTTTATGTCCTTTCAACAGTGTGAATTCAATTTTGGGATGAAACCTTTCCAGTACCCTCCTAAAATTGCATTTAAAAAATTCAATGACTATGGCAGTCTTACAGATGAAGAAAAACTCATTTTACCAAGGTACAAATATTGTTTTCTTACTGGGCTGGTTAAAATACAACTTTTGAAAACTAATGTAATGAGAAGACAAATGCACAAAAATTCGTTAATGTATAAATATATTGATCCTATTGTGAAGCTCATTGACAGAGTGATTGAAATTATTCGTTTATTTCGTCCTCAAGGATAAAAGAAAAAAAGTACAAGACAGAATCACACACACACTTGTCTTTCTAAATTATAAACTATATGATAATATGACTTTTCTACCAGTAATGATCAATTGTTAATTTTTTTTCTTAGTTTAATCACTGACTTATTACTTCATAGTATTGTGTGCTCTACTTTCTTGAGGCATTCTCACCGTAATATCCAGAGGGAGGTGGGGTCTGCATGACTGGTATACATGTGATTTGATCTATAAAATTAGACCTAATTTTAGATATTAAGGAAAAATGTGTGAAAAAATGGCTAAGTGGCCATTCCACAGAATCTGGGGACCGTAAACCTGAAAAATTGGAAGTCGCATTTCTGAACGAATACAAAAATGTCCATATAATTGTTTTTTCTTTTCATTTCCCAGGCACATGAGGCTTGCCTTGCTGCGTCAGGTGACGGTGAAGGAAGACTCGTGTACGATATGTTTTGACAAGCAGGACACGGTAATGTTGCTGCCATGTGACCACACAGGCTTCTGCATGGACTGTGCTATGCAACTGGAAGTGTGCCCTCTGTGCCGGACTAACATAGAACAAAGGAAACAAGTGGTGGTGAGGACAAACTCTGTGAAAATTCTGAACAAAGATGACGGAGTGCATGGGACAGAAAGCGAGGAAACAAAACCGGGAATGAAAAGTGCAAAAACTGAAGATGAGAAAATACAGATTTGTATGACAGATGTGGAGAGTAGCACTGATGCACATTCTGCCCTGGAAGCTACGAGTACACACACGGAAAGCAGCTGATGATATAGAATTCACTTGACTCAGTATTGAGTTGGGCATATCTAGAAATAAATTGTATATTCAAGGATTAATTGTGTCGATGCATTTTAAGATTCTAAGGGCCTATTCAGGACAGTGGATTTACTATTCTGAGGGTCAAATACGTCCGACCCACTAGAATACGTCCCACGGGGAATCTATTCAGTGTCTATTAGCAGTTTGGCAGCAAGCCTTTTAGTGGGTCGCCACATGTAACTGTTATGAATGGGGCCTATATAAGAGTCAAGTGTCAGTTTTGGTTCAGTTGACTCAAGACCCCCCTGTGAATTTTGAAAAGTGAATGCAATTCAGTAATTTTTATTATGTCAGGTTGTTTTTAAGTATGATGGTTAATGCTGTTTCAATTTGGTATACTATACTGAATTGCTTTTCTTTCTTTTCTTCTATTTGGCTGAATGGTATACATTGTTAGTTATTAACTAAAAATTTATACACGATAAAGCTCAAAGTACTGAAGACATCACACTGGTTTTGGATGTGCACCAAATGATTGAGAGCCCAAACCTGGATCTACATGTGCACTCGGAGATCACGAATCCAAACCATGCTACAGGGGTGCACCAAAGGAGATGGATTTCAACATCAATATTTGTGACTTCTTAATACTCACCATTTTAATAGTCAAATATGAAGATTTATTCATAAATTGACACATTTTGTAATTTCGGATACTGCTATGCTTATTTAGTTTTAAAAAAATCATTTCACCTTTTGCTGCTGATGCAATCTTGTGAATATTGAATACTTTGATATTCTTAGTTTATTTTGCTTCACAATTGGTGACTTATTTCATTTGATCAAAGATAACATGGATTACTCCTGTTGACATTTTGCAGTTTTTCACTTACAGTAAATTGATGTTACTGCAGAATTGAGCATACGGTTTAGAAAAAACTATTTTGAACGTTTATCATTATCTTTAATGGATTCAAGAGAATGGGTCATTTCTTGATTTTTTTCTTTTCTTGAAACCATATGTCATTATTAGAAGTTTATGCAGAACAAAAAAACCTTCATTTTCTAGATAATAAATGTTATCAACTTACGCAATTTTTTCAGTTTTTTTATTAAAAAAATAATAGAAAAATACGGGTTGGGGTCAGTGGTGACGTCTCCCACTCTGGCACAATCTTACAGAAAATTGTGCAATAAACCATAATATAAAGCACTGCAGAATCGTTTTTGCGGTGGCAGACAAGACTGGACGGAGGGAGAAGCGTTATTCTCATAAATGACTATTACTTAATTTGTATATGTGCCGGATCGAATTATTATTGCCATTTCTTTGGTGCTGAAGATTAAGCACGCACAAGCACACACACACACACACACACACACACACTAAAACAATCTGCTAAGCTACCAATTGCAGCAGAGAAGATCATTTCTGTTCTCCTCCAGATGGCGCTATTAGAGAACGGTTTGGTTTGTCAAACTTGGCAAAAACTGCTCATATTGCAACATGCAGTAGACCTTGTAGGGATAACTAGTGACCTACATAATGCCATTTTACTTTGGGTGTGTAAGGGTCTGAAGCTTGATTTGATTAATTTAATCTAGTGTATTTTGAAATATGCAGGGAACAAAAGCTTCCTGCGCATTACTATTTTAGCACATTGTTAATCAAATTTTGTCTGTCAAATCATGGTAATTGATAAATAGAAAGGGCGATCACCTAGCTCTTCCTACCTACTACCCCTATGAATCATTTGGTACCTGAACCCTTGGAAGAGATGTCACGTCTTCTTCAGTTCTGAGTGACCAGGGTGTGGATGTGAGGCGGTCAGGATACCAAATATATGGGTATTTCAGTTTTAACCGATTCAACGAAACGTTCTGAGACAATGGTTTTAGGTATTTGTCGAATCTTGAACTTTGGTGCGTTTTTTAAAAAAATGGGTTTGACGCCTGCATGTTGAAAGCTGGGTTTTGCCATCCACCAGTATTTTCCCCACGTGATATTTTGTGTCCTCCATGCCTCCTTTATTTCACCACTTACCTCATGACAGTGAAAATTGCGGTTCTACATCAAGTTAACTACACAGAATTTGAAAATACATCGTAAAAACGAGTAGTGCCACAAAGTTTTACAAGCGAAATAGTCAAGATGGGGAAAATTCTGTGGAATGGCTCTTTAAAAAATTTTGGCTGTTGAAATTTAGTGAGTGGTTTTTAATGAATTTGTGTCATAATTATAGTACAGCAAAATAGTCACAATTGAAAATTAAAGAACAGGATAAAGGTTTAGTGATCTACTTCCATTTTTAATTTTGACATGATTTAACAAATAATACCATATTATGTAGGCCTAATATTGGTAGATAATTACACTGCTCTCTGCGTGACTGATTATGAAGCATTCGTTTCCAAGGCATAAAGGGCGAATTGCTAATTTGCAAGTAATGCTTGAACGTAATTTTGATATTTCTCATTTATGGCTAATGTTAATATCACGTTGTCTAAAAAAAAGCTGTGTCCAAAGTAATTTAACATGATTTTTACCTCCAAAATTTAAATACTTTTGTGAAAAAATCAAAACGTAGCATATTTAACTCTGCGTAGTCATTAGTAACAAAACCTGTTTTATTTCGCCAAAGAATAAAACCGTCCTTTATGCCTGTAAACGTTATACTATAATTACAAGTGAGAGTTTGCCTCAGTGACGTTTGTAAAACTATTTGCGGTATTATTCAGCAAGGCAGCAAGTTGTGACTTGACATTTATTTTACTGCAAATATAATGCTCATAAAATGGAAAACTTATTTTTCTACTCAAGGAAAACTGAAGCTCAATTTGACCTTTTCATCAAAAGACAAAAAAACCTTGAACTCTGTTCACTTAATTTTGCACGTTTGGTGATTTGTTACTTTTTCGCGTCCTTTACAATACTTTGAAGAGAAATAAATCATTCTAAAGCAGTCTTACGTTATTGATCTTAAAATAAAAACAATAACAATAAGTTCAATCCATTTTTAAAATTGCTAAATGCTTAGTTGACAAAATTCTATCAAAAAATTAAAAAAATTCAGAGCATTTTACTCGTCACATGGAACTTGGCATTTACAACATTTTCACTCGCTCCTGGACTTAAATTCTTAATTTTGAAGGCATGCAATGCGGGGTCTACCAAAGCAAAAAAAAAAAAAAAAAAAATCTGGAAATTTCAGCAATTTTCCCTGTAGGCTAACTTTATGCAAAAACTGTTTCGAAAACTTCGATCTGAAAACCCCGTTTGGGTTCCAAATTTCTATCATTCTATCGCTACCTGTGAAATTAACAAGTCTTAATCTCCATAGCGAGGGAGACTCAAAATCTACTTACTTTATACTCGTATCTGTATGATCTTTTGAAGCTTGGAAACTTGCTGTCTTGTTGAGTGAAAAGTGTCATTTAAAAGTGTCATTTTTACGGATCACAATCGATCATTTTGTTTGAGTAATGGAGTATATAAAGCTAACACATTTAAGATTCAATTTGTGAAAATTACATGTAGTTAAAAACTGATTTTGCTAATCCAAGTCTACCGGTTAAACTGTGCATTAAAAGAACGATATATAAAAAGATTTTTGTTATTTATATTTGTTCATTTAGGTTGTAATCTTAATATTACCGATTTTCTTTTAAAGTTAAGGTGTGTAGTAAGCGCAATATTTTAAAAATTATTTGTTGATTATGACTTGTATTTATGGCATTAATTTGTTAAACAGATCTCACTTTTGCATAAAGATGAAGGGAACAGTCATGTGATCCAAAGTGTCCTATTTTCAAAATTCTGCTGCATTTGTTTAACAAACAGCATCTTCAGTATTTCGAGCAGCAGATGCAGAAATGGTGTTCATGTTCTTGTATGAAAACATTATTTATGTTCAGAAAGTTACAAAACATTTGTTACAATTTTTTCGACTTTTAAATATTAATGCAAGGTGTTATAAGTAGCACCATGGTTTGTCCCTCCATTTTGCCCAGGTTTGATAATTACACGTTGCAAATAAATGGCTAAATGTTGTTTTTTTTTTCAATAATCAATGTCTCTGGGGGATTTTTTCACGTTCCCCGTTAATTGTATCTCTTGTAGAGTATTTTAACGTATTGGTTGCTGTTAAATGTTGAAATATATTTCACAAACTGCTTTTGACAATTTCTTGCAAAACAGTAAAAATTTGTTCTTCCTTCCAAGTAATAGCTGTCGAAATCTTATTTCGTATTAAATGTGAAAAAAAATCACACCACCCTATGGTTAAAATGAAACAAAAACAGTGGCAGAAACATTTTATTTGGAAAGGGTGTCACATTTTGAAATTTTTGGCAATTTGGAGACTTTTAAATCATAATTTATCATATCAGAACAAGTTTCTTTCGATTTTTTCTGCGGTGGTGTGGGGTGAGACAGCTACTAGATCTGCCGTTGTGTTTGTTTAAAATGAAATTGAAAAATCTGATTGTCATTTTTATCTGAAATTAAGCATTAGCCAAGTAGATAATTAGATAGTTTATTTATCAAATCAAACTTGAGCGAGTTTTAATGCAGATATCAATATTTTTGATTTACATATCTGGATAATCAAAAAAAAAAAATGACTTTAAATATTTTAAAAATCTTTAACAAATATGAGAATACATACATCAATGGTAGTTTATTTTGCTTCAAATAAAATATTTTACAATAATATGCAAAATGGCTTAGCGTTATCATTGGCTCGGTGGTACTCCAAGGGTGGGGGTTTGATTCGGGCACTTGGAACATACTAAATTCCTTTGTAAAAATTCCCTTTAGTTACTATAAAAGGAAAGTCTACCAGGGGTGGGTGGGCGGGAACACTTAGGAGAGTGGATAGCACGCGAGACTCGGACACAGCAAGACTTGGGTTCAAAACCTGGCGCTTCTAGGTCCCAGCAAATTACCTTTTGCAAAAAAAATCCAAATGTATAATTTAAACTGCGATAAGAGGATCCTACAATCAATGTAAGGCAAGTCAAAGCACTGGCTCAGTAGGTAAGGCGGCAGAATAGTAAGCAGAAGATTGAGAGTTCGAGACGAGCTGAAAGGGTTGAAATTACTTTTGCAAGTTTTGAACGAAGTAAAAGATTTACAAGTTTATTATTATCAAAATTGTTCATTAACAGTATTAATTTTTTTTTAACAAAAATGATGAACATTTCGTACTCTAATTAAATACAAGTTAAAAATCAAACAAACAGAAGGCAGTATACGTCTTTCAATAAAACAAGTCGGATTTTTATGCATTTTGAACATTGTTACTTACAGACAAAATCCTTTGATTTACGAAAAAAAGTTCAAAAGTTCAGGATCGTAAGATTTGAAAGACTCGAAAGAACTGATAATA